GATGCTCGAACTATCATCATCATCATCATCATCGTCATCATCATCATCATCACCATCATCAGGCTTGCAACACCTGGGATCCAAAACCTGCCACGGGTCTATTGTGCTTTCGGTTGTTATTGAGATTATGAACAGTGCATAGCCCGTAGCTCAAACGACATTCAAGCAAAAGTTCTACCTAGGTGGTAATTTATTAGAGGATGTCGTTGCTATTAAAAGACGCCCATATAAAAGGGGCAAGATTCTGTCCCATCCTAGGGAGCACTGCAACCTCACTTAATTAGTCCTTTTCTAGCCGAAATCGTACTTTAACATTCCGTCGGTTTGACTACCTATCGCTGATGAATGGGAGGTAAAGGAATGCTACGAAGGAGACAAGGTGAAATTCTCGATAATAAGGAATTCTGGATGTTAAGAAGGTACCCTTTAAACGCCATCGACGTATCGTAAAAGTAGTGCGCACAGTGTGTGAACTATGTCACGGAAAACGGCGACGTAAGTGGAGATTAAAATGTTATGTACTTTATACATATGTTTAGCTTATTTCAGATGCCCATTTCGCGTGCAGAATTTATAGTGTAATAATTATATCAGTCCAAATCCTTACTCACTTTAGCGAAAATCAACGCCTCCTTGTATTTCTGCAGTTTCACACGCAAATAGCTATCCCAGGCTCGAACTGTAAGCTGTATGCCAGGGTTCATAATGACATTGCATTGATTCTCGACGGACATTTAAGTGCAAAGGTCATTAAAGGACTAATTTCGAACGATACGTAAGCTGCTCTGTTTTTGTTTATTCGCTTTTACATGAACAGGTTTTATGCATATCTAAAACTTACGTTTGCTGCGTCATAGCCATTTTCGACTTTTTCGAAATTTTCCGCTTTTCTAAGCACTAATATAGTAGAATGTCGGTTGACGAGTTTAATCCTTTCCGGCACCGAACTCATCATCTGAGGGACTCGTTTTGCGAAACGTAGCCAATCAAACTGCATCAGTTCAGCTGCAGACGACCGGAGACCCACCAAGCCCTGGGAGCAAGACTCAAGGGCGGATACAGGCACAGGTACACATGCGCTGACAGTTTGTTAGCTGCACGGAAGTTCGCCTATCGAATCAAATCTTCTGCGAGTGGCTCGCTCGTTACCTGAAACGCTCGTAGATGGAGGGCTGCTCCTCACCCGAGGTTCCACTGTATTTTCGAACCGCACGTTAGCTATCCTGTCTAATTTACTCGTTTTTGCGTGAACAGGCCTTATGTACATCCAAACCTGAAGTCCACTCAATTACAGTGATTTTTGCCCTATACGAAATTGGTTGTTTTTCTAAAAAATGGTATTTCTAAACGCTAGGGTACTACTTGTAACATTTGTTTTAGGTTTTCGATTCGCCTTAAGTCGTTAATTAGTATTTCGAAGTTCTGTTAAATGCGCTGGTATCGGTGTGCGGGTTATTAACAACCCCCGTAAATTGCAACACTGTCGGTGTTATACGTCATCTGCTGTAAGTACATTTGCCTGTTAGAAAGGACAAAAAAATAAGGAAACTCGTTGGTACCGCTAACGGCCTCGAAGTTAAATAGCAAGAACTCTACAAACAACGCGTTTTTGAGCCTATAAAAAACGTGTGCTCCCCTGTTAGGCTACATGCAAATGGGAGTTTCTTTAGTCAGTACGGCATTGCATTTGATTTCAATAACTTCTGGAAGGAGAAACCCTATGTACAAGCTCGCCTTATGCTCTGGTGAGCAGCCAAAGCGCACGACCTAATGAAATCCCAAGGGCAATTCCGAAAAGCATAAAGCATAAACGTAAGCCCCAAATTTTGGACAGCGCAAATAACGGAAGGCAGGTGTGCACGCTAGGGACCAGATAGAATATGCTAACATGCACACTCATGAGTCTGTTCTCACCACATGAAAATTTTAAAATCGAATTGGTGTCTTCAGGGGTTTGCGGGCTGTGGATTCTAAGTGGATAGGCTAGGCGACGGTATCGTAAGCCCATCATTAAATTCAAATGATTTTTTTTAGGTAACTTTAGCAAGCAAAATAATTTGCCTAGCAGGCATTCAATAAAACAGATCCTGAGAAATGCTGGAATAAAAGTGGTAAAATAGGAAATCTTAGGCTTTGGCGTAGGCGCTGTACCTATTACAAAGGCTAATCAGTTAAGAAAGTGGACACTAGAAAAAGAGTAACGATATTTTTAAAGTATTTGTAAAACCTTCATTCTTTCGGTGCATCCAACTTCCTCTCAATAGTCTCTATACAATATCCGATGTTTGCGCATCTCAGCGGGGGAAATGGAGCACAATGGAGCCTCAAGTAACGAGCAGTCCCATCAATGAACATTTCGGGTAGCAACCCAGCCACTAGCATAACATTTGTTTCGATTTAGAGCTTCCGTTTAGTTAATAAGTGTGTGTGTGTTCGCCTGTGTCCGCCGTTGAGTCTCGGTCCCAGAGCGTGGTGGGTCCTCAGTCGCCCGTGGCCAATCGCTGCACTGTTTCACAAGACTTGCTTTTCACATGATGAGCTCGGTGCCGGAACGGATTAAACTCGCTAACCAAGGTTCCACTGTACTACTGAATGAACAGTTCAGCTCTAAATAACCATTGCCAAATACTTTGGGTATCAGTGACGACCT